CAGTTCAAGGTAGAAAGATAATAAAAGGGGTTGTTGTTGTTGTTGTTGTTGTTGTTTTGAGTTGGAGTCTCACTCTGTCACCTGGACCGGAGTCTGGCTGCTCCCGGTCACCGCAGCCTCGACCTGCTGGGCTCTGGCGATCCTTCCGCCTCAGCCTTCCAAGTAGCTGGAATTACAGGCGCACGCTACCACACCCGGCTAATTTTTTTTTTTTATTTATTGTAGAGATGAAGTCTCGCCTGCCCAGGCGGGTCTTGAACTTGCAGGCTCAGGCTTCCCAAAGGCGTGGGATTACAGGCTGAGCCACCGAGCCTGGCTATAAAAGGGATTTTAAAAATATAATTTCAAAGATAATTAGGTCCTAAAACTTTACTTACCTTTAAAATATCCCTTCACAAAAGTTAATGACTGCTCTATATAAATATCAGTCACTTCAGTAACTTATCGTCTATATCTGTTACTCGGTTCTCTGGCTCCCTCCTTACTAAGAGAACCCTGATTTTACTCAGGAAATTAATGTACCTAGCTAAAACACCATGCTTCCCAGTCTCCCTCATAGCTAGAGGGAGTCTGTAACATTGGACTATAAAATATAAAATAGTGAAGTCGGGGTGGGGGGGTGGAGTGGTGAAAGCTCTTTAAAAGGACCCAAAATTCAGCTGGCAAATGCCCTTCTGCCTGGATATTATTCTAGAGAAAGATCAGCCATCACACCACAAGAGACAGGCATGCCTGAAGATGTCTAAATGAGGGGGGAAAAAAAGGAGCCTGAACCTCTGATGTCACAGAGCTACCATATCAGCCCTAGACTTCCTACCTCCAGTTCTTCTGCTAACGGAGAAAAATGAAACTTCATTTTGTTTTTGTGATTTTTTTTTCCTTTTTCTTTTTAGAGACAGGGTCTCTCTGTCACCTGGAGTACAGCTGCATGATCACAGCTTACTGCAGCCTCAAACTCCTGGCTTCAAGTAATCTTCCCACCTCAGCCTCCCAAAGCACTGGGATAACAGGTCTAAGCCACTGTGCCCACCTTCCTTTTCAAATAGATTTTATGGTATATATTTAAGGTATACAACATGATGTTGTAGGTTACATACAAATCGTACAATGGTTACTATAAGGAAGCAAGTTAACATTTCCATCACCTCACAATTATCTATTTTTTTTTGGTTCATTTGTTTTATGGCAAGAACAGCTAAAATCTACTCATTTAACAGGAATCTCAAATGCCTAATTTGTTTGAATCACTATTTGGGGGTCTCTACAATTCACAATAAGTTCAATTCCTAACTCCTAGGCCTATAATAATTTATTCCCCACCAGCAACCAGAGACCTTTGAAAAGTATAAGTCAGATTATATTACTGGTTTTCTATCATCCCTAAAATAAATGTAGGCTCTTTACCAGGTCAACTAGGTCTTCTTTAAGCTGGCCTTTCTGTATCTCCCAGTTAATCTTCTACCAAACCCCCATACCCTTTTCCACCACCACTTGCATACTCAGCTCCAGCCACACTGACCTTCCTGTTCCTTGAACAAGCCAAACTTGCTTCTGTCTCAGGACCTTTGCATTTGCTGCTCCCTTTGCTGGGAATGCTGTTTCCTCATACTTGTACCCTCACTTCTTTCAGGTCTCTGACAGACCTTCCCTGACCCAAAAAGAATCTCTCTAAGGTCAAGGACTTTGAGAGCCTTCTTCAGCACTGCATCTCCAGTACCTGGGACATAATAGGAGCACTATAAATATCTGATTAATCAATGAATATACATCATGACCTCATTTATACTGAAAAAGACCAAATTATATGTGTTCATGTATACGTAAGTACATAAGAGGTATAACATAGACACTATTGATATTAGGTACCTCTGGGAAAGAGTGGGAAGCAAAGTAAAGAAAAACTTTCACACTTTGCTCTGCATATTTCTGTATTATTTTTCTTATGTTAAAAGACAAAATTAACTACAACATATGGCAGGAAGAAAAAAAATCTAAACATATTTAGAAACACAAACCTACTCATAGAATCATAACATTTAGAAACTCATAGTGGCTTCAGTAAGTATATTAACTCAAAGGTCTTTACTAGAAGTCATTCCAAACATACCTCCCTGTCCTTAGTAGGCCCTCAGAGCCTGGCTCAGCACCTAAAGGAAATCACTTCCATTCCATAGTCCCCCAGCCTGGTTTATTCCTACCCCAGCCTGGTTTATTCCTAAATCTCTCACAGGTAGCAGAATCTATCATTACTAAATAAAATAACACCTTTAACAAAACTGGAATTAGGGAAGTAAAATTTCTTATTAACCTTTTACAGCCCTTATGAAGGTTTTTACTGTCACTTAAAGTAATAAGTATACTAAAATAAAAAGTATATTAGTAGTATGCTACACATCAAGTTAGTAGTAACAAGTTGTGTAGAATTAATATCTACTTACCATTCCTTGCTCAGTAGAAACTTTTAAAGATCTTCCTCCCCTAGGGATTCATTCAGATAATTACAAATTTACTACTTCAGAAAATATGCATTCTAAGAGAACTTTTCTCTATTTAGTTCTTCATCCAAATGTTTAGTGCCTTTTAATTTTTTTATAATTTTATTGATGCATATTTTATATATAATTCATCCATTTCAAGTACATAATTCAGAGATTTGTAGTAAATTTACAAAGTTATGGAACACACCATAAATGAGTTTTAGAAATCTTCATCACTTCAGTGAAATCCTTCATGCTCATTTACTGTTAATCCCGCTTCTCTCCCCTGCTCCAATCAACCACTGATCTACTGTCACTATACATTTATCTATTCTCAACATTTTCTATAAATGTAATTACGATATATGGTCTCTTATATCTGGATTTTTTTTCCACTTAGTATCTTTTTGAGGTTTATCCATGTGGCGCATGTATTAGTGATTCAATTCCTTCTATTGCTGAATGGTATTATATCATATATATATGCCATATCGATGCCTTTTTAATTTATGGCTTGGATTTCCATGTTCCAGGCTGTACAATGGATGCAGGATAACTTAGGTACTTGAGGAGGGGGACCTGTAGCTAACTTAAGTTAACCCAAATGACATAGGCGAGTGTTTCTCAAACCCAATCCAGTTTATGTGGGATGAAATTGCCCTTGCTTCACTCAATAACATTATGCCATCAGCCCCTTTTAAAACCACTGCCCTGTACCTTTCCTCTAACAGGAACACAAAGATCGTTCCTCAAGGTTTCATTCTCTCCCAAGACTTATAGAAACATCTATTCTTTTTTTTTTTGAGTTGGAGTCTCACTCTGTCGCCTAGACTGGAGTGCAGTGGCACGCTCCTGGCCACCACAGCCTCGGCCTGCTGGGCTCCAGTGATCCTTCCGCCTCAGCCTTCCAAGTAGCTGGAACTACAGGTGCACCTACCATGCCCAGCTAATTTTTTGATTTATTGTAGAGATGCGGTCTCGCCAAGTTGCCCAGGCGAGTCTCGAACCCGCAGGCTCAGGCAATCCACTCACCTCAGTCTGCCAAAGCGCGGAATTACAAGCTGAACCATCTACTCTTACTTTACCTTTTTTTCTACCTCCAACTCCTTGTTTTCTCTATGATTACCTTCAAACTGATAGCTTTAAGGCTTCCATACTTTCTGTTTCTAAAAAGGCATATTAGAAGTAAATACTGTATCTGAATATTCTGAAAATTGAACCTGATGCTCTTTTAATGTGGTCTCTGAAAATAATTTCTAGGCCAGGTGCAGTGGCTCAAGCCTGTAATCGCAGCACTTTGGGAAGCCAAAGTGAGGGGATTGCCTGAGCCCACAGGTTTGAGAATAGCCTGGGCAACTTCATGAGACCTCATCTCCACAATAAATTAAAAAATGAGCAGGGTGTGGTAGCGCATGCCTATAGTTCTAGCTACTTAGAAGGCTGAGGCAGAAGGATCGCCTGTGCCCAACATGTTGATGCTGGGGTGACCATGAGCATGCTACTGCACTCCAGCCTGGGCAACAGAGTGAGACTCCAACTCAAAAAAAAAAAAAAGGAAAAAAATTTCTATATAGAAGAAAAACTTTGTAAGTGATTTAAAAAGAAGTAAAACCTCACAATGCCAATATAAAAGGAGCAAGATACACATCAACATCTGACACTCATTTAAAGGGGAAGATTAAAGAATATACAGTAATTAAGCATAGTTTCCTATTATCTTTTTTCTTTAACATTATTTTGTTAAATACTGATTTTTTCATTCAGTGTAAAATACCATAATAGTGTTACTGTCTCCTCTCTGTTTTATGATTGCCTGATTCAGATTAAGTGGATTACTTACCTGTATATTAAATATCCACATGTAGAATGACTAATCAATTATAAAGCTAGGTGAGGGACAGTGGTGCAGGGAGAGGGCTGGGAAAGAATGACACAAAGCCAGCAACTCGTTACCAGCCTTTCTGAAGTCTTAATGTTGTAGGTGATTCCCAGACAATTAGTTTGAAAATGTCAAAAATAAGACGATATGGACACAGATAAAAGTTCTCCCAATGGTAAACGTTTTCTAACTAGAAAATTACTTCACTATCCCCTCACTGACTTATGTTACATTTCTTCTGGAGTGCTAAACACAGTGAAAGCAACAATACCATGGCACATATAATTAGAAGAAGTTTGCAAGATAAGAAAAAATATTACAAACAGTTGTTAGCAAGGACATCTGAAAAAAGTACCAAGAATACCCCTCTTGGTGGCCAGTTATTGGTGGTAGAAGGTGTGTGATTATCTCTATGAGCTACATTTTCAATCTTTGAAAGGATAACTAAAAAGGGGATCTTGGGTTAGGTTTTATCCCACTTCCATTTTAGTCCTGAATCTAACTAGGCTGGTATAAGGTAGTGTGAAGAAAGGATCTGCATTGTAACCTTTTAAAAACCTAGTAAATCAAAACTCACATCATGCATTCTTAGTGTCATTATTCCAATTTAAGAAAAGAATGTCATGATATTACATATACTATACCTTTCTCAGGCTTTCATATTCTTCACGAAGTTCCCCAGGCTTGCTTAATTTGATTGGTGCTCTGAATATAAAGTCTGGAGGAAAAGGAAAAGAAAATACTTCTTAACAGGACTTTCTAGGAAGGAACCAAGACCTTGTCCTACTACTGTCCCCACATTGTAAATCACATTTTTAAAATGTGGTCATCTTAATTTACTATTCATTCATTCATTTAACAAATATTTATTAAGGGCTATAAATCAGGCACCATTCTAAACACTGGGGAGACGCATTGAACAAAGTCCTTGTTCACATGGAGCTTATAATCTTATAGAGGAAAAAAGACAATAAACAAACAAGTATGTATATTACTATGAGTAATGGCACTAAGTGCTATGGAGGAAAATAAATGTAGGATAAAAGAAAAAGGTTATTTTATATAGGGTAATCTAGAAGGAACTCATTGCTGATAAAGTTACATGTTAAAAGACCTCAAAGAAAAGCTGTATTTAAAGTTCTAAGTTCAGTGTTACCAACTCACATTTTAAATGAGCTAAAGTTTATTCATAATTTGGTATTTTTCTATTTCTTTCTCAACACTGCTAAAGCATATTCCTAAATATAACTTGTATACAATCTTGAATACTTTTCAGTATATGACCTGATTTTTTTATCTTCAAAGGCTTCAGTGATTATGATCAGTCTATACAATAAAGTCAAAACTTTTCAACACGTCATTCAAAGTTTTTCAGAGACTGATCATAACTTTATTTTTCTAAAGCATTGTATCTCTCAGCCCTTGTCTAGTCACTATATATATATATATATATATCCATACAGTATTTTAAACCTTTTATGCTGTTTTCTCAGATGAAATTCTGTCTTCTCCCTTTTTCTCTCTCTCCCTCTTTTATTTTTATTTTTTGAGTTGGAGTCTCACTGTCACCCAGGCTGGAGTGCAGTGGCACTACCATGGTCACTGTGACCTTGACCTGCTGGACTCAGGCCATCCTTCCACCTCAGCCTTCTAAGTAGCTGTGACTACAGGCATGCCACCATGCCCAGCTAATTTATATTTTTAAATCTGAGACATCAGGCCCATAGGAGACAAAAAATACATGTTGATTATATAATAGATGACAAAAATCAATGAACAAGAATAAAAGATAAGTCTTAAATAATATCAAAAAGGTGGCTGAAGCCAGTGTGCTGACTCACGTCTGTAATCCCAGCTCTTTGGGAGGCTGAGAACCACTACAGAATTGTTAGACCCTGGGTATGGAAGGTAAACATTTCATCACCTTCACTCACTTAAAAAAAAAATTTCCTGATGACTATTTTAGTCCCTCCAGCAGACTGCTTGAGCTCAGAGTTGGAGACCAGCCTGGGCAACCTTATCGTTATTAAAAAAAAAAAAAAAAAAAAAAACTAGCCAGGTCTGGTGGCAGGTGCCTGTAGTCCCAGCTACTCAGGAGGCTAAGGTGGAAGGATCATTTGACCCCCAGAGGTTGAGACTGCCCTGAGCTGTGATCACCATGATTATGCCACTGCACTCTAGCCTGGGTGACAGAGTGAGACCTAACTCAAAAAAAAAGGTGGTTGAAAGTACATACTTGTGCCTCCTTAAATGTACATGGCACTTCTTTATACCCTCTATGTATATATTTAGTAGTCTAAATGTCATATTAATTTTAACACATACTAACAACTCTTTTAACTTACTAATAATTCTACATTCCATTGAAATTAATAAATATCTGTCCTAGAAAAGTGGCTCCAAAAGAGTTGTCTTTAGTCCTTTTTTCACTCTCTCAACTATTTAATTTTTTTCTGCATCTCTCTTACAGAGAAGTCAACTATCTTAGAAAGACTCTATTTAATATACTGAAGAATGTAGAAGACACTTAGATACTTAGAAACATTGGACTTAATTAAAATATAAAAATAGTAACATAAACCTCTACTAACCACTACAGAATTGTTAGACCCTGGGTATGGAAGGTAAACATTTCATCACCTTCACTCACTTAAAAAAAAAAAAATGTCCTGATGACTATTTTAGTCCCTTAAGCACATTTCCAATATAGGCAAATAGTATTTAAAATTAGATACTTTAAAAGAGAAGAGGAAGGAAGGAGAAAGCAGAATTCTTAAGGAAAAAAAAGTACTTTGAATCCATTTAAATCTATGAAAACCTGTTACATGTAAGATACCCTGTATAGTTTCTCAATGAATTTCACAGAAACCTTAAAGGTAGGTTTTATGCCCTCTTTACAATAAGGAAACCGAGGGGTTAAATGACTTGACTAAAGGCCAAAGAGCTAGTGCATGGCAAAGCAGGGAGAAGAGCTTTAACAGGAATAAAGAAGGAAATTACATAATGGTTAAAAAGGTAACCCATCCAGAGATGAGCCCAATGTCTCTTCCCTACTACAAACCCCACTGTTATAGTCCCCCCCTTGATAGTCTTCCTTACTATCTCAAAAAAAGGCAACTCATTAAGAAAATACAACAATTATAAAATTGCACAAACATACAACACAGCAAAAACTAGTAAGATTATAAGGAAAAATTAATACAAAATTACACTAAGAAATTTTAACATGCCACAATTAAAAACAGATCAGGCAAACCAAAAGATAGTAAAAATATAGAAAAATTGAACAACAAAATTAACAAACTTGAATATACATATATATACACACACACACACACACACACACACACACACACACACACACACACTCAATATTCCTTAAAGCAAACAAGGAGCAATTAAAAATATTAGCTGGGCTCAGTGGCTCAGTCTGTAATCCCAGCACTTCGGGATGCTGAGGTGAGTGGATTGTCTGAGCCCGCAGGTTTGAGACCCGCCTGGGCAACTTGGTGAGACCTCATCTCTACAATAAATTAAAAATTAGCTGGGCACGGTAGCGCGCGCCTGTAGTTCCAGCTACTTGGAAGGCTGAGGCGGAAAGATCGCCGGAGCCCAGCAGATCGAGGCTGCAGTGGCCGGGAACGAGCCACTGCACTCCAGTCTGGGTGACAGAGTGAGACTCCAACTCAAAAAAAAAAATTTGATTCTACACTAGGTCACAAAGGTATTTCAGAAAATTTCAAAGAATTTACATTATGTAGACTTTGCTCTTTGATCTAGCTACCATTTTCCAAGCCTAGCTTTCTAACTACCTGACTAGTGATTCTGGGTTACCCAATATTATTTCTCAATAAATTCCTTTTCTGATCAAATTTGCCAGAGTAGACTTCTACTGCTTGCAACTAACAACCCTGGCTGATTCAATTTTGAAATAACGAATAAACCAGTCTCTAGTAAAACTGATTTAGAAAAAAAGAGAGAAAAGAGATCTAAATATAGGTAAGTTTATGTCTCCGGCAACTATTAAAACAATGGTGTAATGAATATATCGCATCTATATCATTTTGCATACCTGCAAGTATACCCATAGGATAAATTACTGGAATCAGAATTGCTGAATCAAAGAATATGTACTTTTTGACAGATAATACAAAACCCACCAGCAATGCATGATGGTGCCATTTTGGCAGAAATTTTTTTTTCCTTTTTTTAGAGACGAGGTCTCGCTACATTTCCCTGGTTGGAGTGCAGTGGCTATTCATAGGCATGATTATAGCACACTGTGACCTCGAACTCCTGGGTTTAAGCGATCTTCCAGCTTCAGCCTCCTGAGGAGTTTGGGACACAGGCGGGTGCCACAGCACAGGGCTCTTCACGCCTATCAACACAACAAAAATCAGCCGGGCGTGGTAGCGCACGCCTAATTCCAGCTACTTGGAAGGCTGAGGCGGAAGGATCGCCGGAGCCCAGCAGGGGAGGCTGCGGTGGCCCGGAGCGGCCACTGCACTCCAGTCTGGGCGACCGAGTGAGACTCCAACCCAAAAAAACAAAAACAAAAAAACACACAAAAACCCACAACAAATGTTGAAATTTTTTAGCTCCACCAGTCTAACAGATGAAATTCTGTATCTTATGAGTGAAATTGAGTATTTTAAGAGTGACTTGCATTTCCTTTGATAAGAAATGTGGTGCATTCCTTTATTTCTCCTTCTAATAACTCTTCTTGATTTTTTTAAGTTCTCTCTACATAAGAAAAATTAGCCTTATGTCACATGAATAGCAACACTTTTCCCAATTTATCATTTATGCTGACTTTGCTTATAGTGGTTATTTCTGTATAATTACATTAAGCAAAATTTTCTTTTATGGCTCCTGAATTTTGTATCATATTTGGAAAGACATCCCTAAGGCCAAGATACAATAACAAATTCCATCATAGTTTCTTCTGGTACAATGCATAAGATTCTTCTCAGATCTACTTTCAAACACTTATAAGCCTTTATTTTTACTTGAGAAGCAACATAAGAAGTATAATCTTATTCAGGCTTATAAGCAAGTCTACTATCCAAAACAAGAAACCAAACATATATTAGTGATAGCCTGGTAAGAATGATAATTTTCACTTACTAATAGAGAATTTGATTTCTCTAAAATAATTCTTGCTGATATTTAGTACAAAACGTCTCAAGAGCTTAACATCCTCAAAAGTTCAATCCCCAACTTAGAAGCTTCAGAGCCTCAGATAAGTCAGTCTCAACTTCCTCTTCTGTAAAATCAGAATATCTATTATGACAGGCTATTATGAGGATCAAATGAGTATAATAAGAGTGAATACACTTTGTAAACTATTTCAGCCAGTAGAGTAACATGTAGCAGAATCTATGAAGTATAAAATAGTCTCTAGTATGGGTGGGATAACACTCTTTAAATTGTGATTTGGTTATATTCATTCTCAAGTATAACTTATAACAAAGATAATGATCCAACTGCTTTAATACATATATTATGTAAAAACTTAAATTCACTTTTGGATATTAAGAAATCTCAAAATTCATAAGAAAACCAAGTAGAAACTCAGCATACTGACTAAAATCTTACTATGCTTCTCACTTATTTGAGAGCAAAAGGTAAAGGGTAGGGACAGAGGTAGGGTACCAATTTATATTCACCAAAATTTGTACTGATATAAATCAGTTTAGTCTTGGATTAACAATGTTT